TACGGTCTCATCAATTAGCACTTGCAGTTTCCCTCTGACTGACGGTATGTTTCAATTTCCCCGTGCCCATAGTACGCAAAGTGATGTACAATATTGTTATCGTACTGGCTGCCTCGTCCGTTCAGAACGGGTAGCGGCTACGTTACTGACTGGTATCCATGTAGTCTTCTTTTCGACCTTGGAAAACTGCTTCCGTGCTATTACATCTCTACTTTCTCAACTGCCAGAAAATATGAGGCAGATCACCGACTTTTCGCAGTCTGGCTCACTTCCTTAACAGTCTCGAAGCCTTTGATAACCTAGGCGATGACCGAGCCGGCATAAACGATTGAAAACGGCAATACCACGAGGGGCTGATGAGTAAATTTTACGTGAGGCCTCACCGACAGTCCCTATGCTTCCTCGTTTTGCTCCAATCTTGGCATCGGCAACAGCCTAGGTTGAATGACCACTCAAGAATGCTTAAATGAGATCAGCCAAATCAGTTAATCATCCTTTTGTGCCATGGAAATGCTTCACCTCAGACAGTGAAGGACACGGTGCTTGTCGAAAATGTAGGGATCGACACCTTAAAGGAGTTAAATCGTTTTCGTTGAGCCCCTTAACCAGTTTCAGTCGTCTGCCTGGAAGATTCGTGGAAATGTTTTTGCTCTGCTGTTGATCTGACTGTGTCGAATCACAGCCATAACGTGAAAACGTCGCAGTAAGCAGTGACAGTTGCAGTAATTGAATTATATGCTGTTTACAGAAGAAGGGTCCATGTTCGAACTCACACACTCATGTTGACCTCTAATCTCATGTTGATAAGGTCGCACAGGAAGGCAATGAAGGTGAGTAAATGAAGGGAGACGTGAAATGCTCCGATCAGATGTTGAGCCTTTGCACTGTCACGAAAATCAACTTAGTGGGCTCTGTAGAAAGTACATAGAGGAGGCTAAGAAAAATAAATATTTCAATGTAGCATTCACGAATTATGGCTGGCAGAGTTTGGAAGCAGAACATGAATTGATCAGATGAGCTTCCTACCGCCAGCCCTAACTGGTCTGTGATTATCACCTCGGAAATGAGTCTTAATGTGAACTCTCTGACTTCAAATATAGCCACACACTCTCATTTATTATCATGCATTTTATTATAAACACGTGACAAACGATTGATAACAGAAAAACAATATTCGATATCTGTGGTTCGTTACAAAATCTTTTTCACATGAAGACCCATCATATGCTTTCTGCATATTTGCCCGTCAACCCAATCCTTCATATTTCTGACTTGCATTAATTTGTTGCCTTTCTTATCCTATATATTATTTACCATTTTTCTATATGTTTGTACTTCATGTTATCTTCTTCCTTGGCTTAATGTTGTGTAGATTGGCTCTGTTTTGCCTCATGCATTGCTTTGTTTTCTCTGTAAGAAAATTTTCGCTTAAAAGC